ATTTGAAAATTGTAAAAAAGAAAACTGTGAGTAAAATAGTAAATTCCAAAATTATGCAGTGAGAGCAGAGAATGTTAGAAGTGTTGTTTTTATATTAGTTGATTCTAGGTCCTGATTGGTTTGGGTGTAATGATAGGTGGGCCTGGAAGTGCCTTTTTTATTTTGTACGTCCCCTTAAAGGAAATAAAGAGACTAACTTTTTGAAATGATATATACACGCATATACAATGCTGTGTGTGTGTGCGCTGAACAATCAATAAGAATGTGAGGAGAGCAAACTCATGAGAAAGGACACCTGTCATGGACAAATATTGCAACGTCACATGCAGCTAAAGCATCTTTTCTAGAGAGAAGCTTTTGCACAGCATCATTGGGAACCTCATGCAAGACTAGAGTTTTCCTACCACCCTGTGATCCATGAAAGAGCATGAAAGAAGAAACTAAGAAAGCTTAACCTACTTGTCTCATTCATTGTGTCTTTCAAGTAAGTTATATTACTATAATCCTTTACACATTTTTTTCCTCGGCCCATTTTCCACCTAATAACATCAAAACTATGTTTGGTTCAAGGAATTTGAGAGGGAAAAGAAAAGAAAATGAGAAGGAAAACATTTTTCTTGTTTGGTTAGAGAGGAAAAGAAAAGAAAAGTGGATGGAAAAGAAAATGAAAAGGCAAAATGTACTAAGAGGAGGGAAAACCAATTTCCTCCCATTTTTGTGAGGAAACTGAGGGAAAACGATTTTCTTTTCTTTCTAAATTCCTTGAACCAAACATAGTGTAAAAGTGTAAAAAGAATAGAAGAGAAATATAAAAACCCCATCCTAAATTTCATTTCAGATATCGGGCCATTTCACCCCTCATTTTGAGAAAAAGATAGAAGTGCAGTTACCCCAGGCAGACGGACTGCATTAACTGTGTATCTCTCATCAGCATTTGATTCATATTCCTCGGAGAAAGGCCTGGAGTTAAATGGATGAACAAGTTTTATTGGGAAAGTAACATCCAAACTACGTTTCCTAGTCCAAGTTATCTATATTTCAAAAATATTTGATCTTAAATGTTTCCGAAAGAGAACACACACACAAACCCTCCAACAAAGGAATTCAAAATTGCAGATTTTCCTGCTTTTTTCGGCCCAAAAACAAAACACTGGTACACATTTCCATCTGAGTGCTGCTTCTTCCGATCTAAGCGCCTTCTTCGAGTGACACGGATAGCAGATGAAGGATCACCTGCATATCCAAGGTATATAATATTTTCCACCGCAGCCATTGGACCAAGAAGTGTCATGAGATTCCACTGCATTGTGTGCAACTAATAGTCAGAATTGTAAAGTATAGAAGTTTCTCAATAAATAATCTATTAGTTGGCTACTATAATATCTCATATCTATCTGATAATAGAAACATCTTTTTCGCATTCTAGTGACCATGCAGATTTGGAATTGATCGATTGATAACTAGCAAACATGATTTGACATTCTTAAACAATAATCCCTCAGTCCGAAAGAAGAGTCCTCGGTTGACTCAGCACGAAGATTAAGAAAAGTGGTTTTTCACTTTCCAATTAAGGGAAATAGTGAAAAAAGTCAATGGCATAAAAGAGATATCAACGTTTCATAGAGAGATGAACTTTTTTGGAACCACCTTGAAAGGAA